CCCACTTATCATCAAAGGGTCAAGTTTGTTCCTGATATTTCACCATTGCAAAAGTTTGCTTTGCAAAGCATCATTAAGCTCTGGACAGTCCATCTTCTGGCAGGTGGAACTGAAGGCATCAGGAGTAACTAAGGGTTGTGTGACCTGTTTAAAACCTAAAATGTCTCCAATATATAATATTATCTATGTGCATGCAATTATTTAGGCACTTAAGACACTGCCATCCAGGCTTTGGCATGGAGGCTGGACTTCAACTGTACATTTTAGCCTTCTGTTTTTATAAAGGAAAAAAGCAAACAAAACTGGAAGATCTAAATTAAACTGGAAGTTTTGTTAAAATGAATCTACTCTTTTCTGAGAATCAGTACACAGGTACATTATTATATCTATGACATCTGCAGCATCTTTGTGGTATGAAAGCCCTGTCAGTTGGTAGCAACATTAAGAAAGCTTGAGCGTTTCCTTTCTTTCAAATGCTTCCTCAAAACCCACCTCTTTTGGGGCTTTTTTATGCACATGCAGTGCTAAATGAGGTAACTACAGAACATTACTGTGTCCTTCTCTCCCTCTCTTTTGCCAATATGTATCACTCTAGTTTAGGCTTTGCTCTTGTGGTGGGCTCTGTATGACAGTGATACCACCTGCATCATCCACTCTTGTAGAATGGTGTAAATAAATAACGCACGTTCTACATCTTCTGTTTCTTCATCCTCCTAGCAATAACTCATCCAATCTTGCTTTTGTAAAAGTGTGTATGTGTTTCAGTAGTAGTATTTTTTTTATCTCTGACAAATATCTTACCAGAGTGAGTTTGTGACCTTAAGTTTCAAATGTAGCAGGGAAATTTAGGTGGTTTGTTCTGTTCCCCACCCTCCTAAGGGTACTTCTGACAAACTCATTTTCATAGAGTAATGGTTCTTATTCACCTTGGTGAGTAACATCAGTGATCCATAGGTTTCCCAGTTGCTGTTCATATGTGGAAGTGGCTTTTATGGGAATCTGTTCTTTTTCTTTCAATGACTTGTTGCTTATATCAGTTTACTCCTCCAGCTTTTGTTTAACTTGAAGTGAGCAGGTATTTTCCTGCCTTCTTCGGGTCTCAGAATTCCAAACAAAAAATTCTATTAAAGGATCCTGTTGCCAGTGTTGGCAGTTTACCCAGTACATGTCATTACCACGTAAGAACCTGAAAGACTGTATTGGGCAGACTAACCAGTGGCATAAACCACCTTGTCCAAGCTGAAAGTGTGAAAGCTAAATAATGAACTGTGTGGATCATGGGAAACACATTTTCAAGCTTTATCTGTCTAGTAGACTGACAGTGACTTTCAACTCAAGAGCATGGGTAAGCCCCTATGAAAGCTCACCAAAGCACAGTGTACTTCATGTTGGCTGTCCCCAGAATGCAGTGGCAAGTTGATGGAGGGAACTGGGTCATCAGATTTTGAAAAGGAGGGGATTTCCTCTGAAAAGCGTGGGAACCTGTGGAGGTGGCTAACATTGTGAAAGTCCACTTTTGATATAATCTTTGATTTTACTTTCCATAACACCTATATAATCTTGAAACACAGTACCACCTGCTGTACTCCGTTGCATACAACTGTTCAGCATAGGGAGGAATAACTTTCAAAAGAAAATATTCCATTTTGCCTCTTAAAGATGCAGATAGCTTTCTTTTTTCCTTTTTGTCTTAAATCTTTCCTGGTAAGATGGCATACATTATTTAGTTGTATCCTCATTTCTCAGGTCAAACCAAGCTGTAGTCAGCATAAAAATCAGAGCAGGTGGAGTATGGGGAAAAATTCTAATGTCTATGTATAGAACAAGTAAGGAAGGTATCTGTGTGTTTTTAGTACAGTGTATTAAAAAAATATATCTAGCATATCACTTTTCATTCACCAGATCATGATGCTGGTCTGAATCCAGCACAATACAAGACATTTTAAGAGCCATGATAACCTGACTTGACACTGCTAAGGTTGTATTTAATGAAGACCAGTGTAATTACTGCCTTTCTTAGGTCACTTGAGATGTAGCAGCTTGTGGCAGTGGAAGTTCCCTTGGATCAAATTTGCATCTGTCTGGTAGTGCTGTTTATGCTTGTTGGGGTGGTTGCTGTGACCAGCTGGGAACTGTAGTGGACAAGCCTCATTCCAGCAGAGCATATCTGACCCCTTGTTTCCTCCAGTGGAGAGAAGTGATACAGTTGGTGCAGTTTATATGGTGTCCAAGGACTGACCCATACTGGAGAAATCTTCTGATATGATTAAATAGCTGTGCAATTTATTAAATAAATACCCCTTTTACTTTAAACCTGGGAAAATGCAAGCTGATATGCTTTATCAGCTCTACTCAATGTATATCGCTATCATGAACCTTCCACTGTCAGTACTGATGTGTATTGTATTGCTTCTGCAACACCTCACCTACCACCTACAATATTGCCATTATAATTAAAGTAATTCAAAACTAGGGCTCATTTTGCAAATTCTTGTCATTCAGGTTTTGGTTTTGCAAACCAAACCCCTATTGATTCCAATTTGTATTCCAGGATTTGTAAGCAAGAGCAATATACAATATCATCTGCATTCACTGTTAGGATTAGTAAATAATAAGTAGGAATCGGTCACTTTCAGAATGTCTCATTCTTCACCATCACAAAATCAATAAAAATAGGTCAAAAGTGTGCTGTTCCTTTCTGGTTCATCTAATAGATGCTTGAACAAAATAATCTGTAGTGAGTCCGGCTTTTCTTGTTTGTAAAAACAGAAAATATATGATGCAACCCCAAAAAACAATTTAACTCCAGCCCAGTAGTATCAGATTTACCCCTGGAAGAGCCAGGGACAATTTTCTCATGCCTTAAAATGCCTGCCTTGCAAAGCACACACTGCTTGTTTCTCATGCTGTCACAAACCGCCTTCTAATTCAAGCTGTGACCATAGTGTGGTTGGCTTCAAGCTTCCATTTCAGACTTCATCTTCTCTTTGTGTGCCAATAACCCTCAAGCGACAAAATAACATCTGCAAGGAACACCAGGGCAGCTGACCATGCTGGAACCCTCAGTTGTCAATGAGTGCTGTAACCAGGTTGAAGACTAACTGGGCCCAAAATGCAAAAAATATAGAACTAACCATAGAAACACACCCTGAGACCTACTGGGCTTACAAGTTGAGACATATTCTCATACACATCTCCAGTGAGTGGCTCAACTCTGAAACACTATGTGGTTTTGTATTTCATGAAGCCTGGCTGTTAAGTGGTGTCTGTGTGCAGAGCCAGCACACACCCTTCTGTATCTCAGGATCTACAAATGCAAAAAGTAGCCATCCTCAGAGAGCTTCATGCAGAGTCAGCTCACATCTACCGGAGGTTCTGCAGAGCCAAATTTTCTGTGTCATGTTACCTAACTTATCCCAGCACAGAGCCAGAGACAACCCAGCTCAGTGTACTTCCAATGTGATACAATGAGTGCAGAGACACTCTTGAAGCTCTGCCGGAGTTGGCTCAGGTCTAGCAGAACCCAAGCAGGCTCTGTGCAAAATCACGGCACCACTGTCCTTCACTGTCCATGTAATCCAGGTTTTTCCAGAAGCCACATGATCCTTGCTCCTTATCTCCCTGGCTATTGGAAAGTTAGCTGCCTGCATGATAATTTTCACATTGTTTCCAAATGAATGCCATTCTTACTTTGGATATTTAACGAGAAAAAATAATGAAAACACTACCTCACTGTAACCAGCTGAGTTAGTGCTGTTGCTGAAGCTGTACTGCCGCCATTTTTATTTTTTTTTTTTTTTAAATGAGCTTTCCTCCATGATGAAGGTAAGATCGTCTTCCTGACTCATCATTCTTGTCAAGACACTCTAGCCAAGCTTCTGCTTCCCTCCATTCATCTGCCCTTTGTCCATCACAGTGAACACAGATTTCTTGTTCCCATCAATTGTAATTCACTTTGCTGCATTATTGTGACATCAATTTGTGCAGCACAAGTGAGGTGAGATATTCACTTCCCTAATTTTTTTCTTCTGTTCCCTTCTTACAGCCTTATTCATAGGGGAAATGCTCTATCAGAATCCACAGGCCACTCTCTTTTCTTCCCCACAGATCATCCTGTAAGAGTTCCTTCTGCCTTGGTACCTGCAATGCACAGCCAGGCAACCAAAGACTAGAGAGCTGGCAAGTTGAGATGATTCATTACCGTTCAAAGTTATTTGTTATCTCAATCTCTTAACACCACTCTTTCGTTTGTTGCCTTTTGTATTTTGTCATCCTCCATTGTGAGTTGGGCGGGAAAGATATTGCTTTGTTGCATAGTTGGAGCACCTTATTTGTTTGGAGGCTCCAGGCACTAATATTAGATAAGTAATGTGCAATAAAGAAGGCTCTCTAGTGTTGCCTTATCGTTTATGTTTGACTGTTGAGAGGGAGGAAAGAGGAGAGTTATCATCAGTTACGGAGAGTGGCATAGCTTTTACCTTCCAGAGTAGAAAAAGATGGAGAACACTTTTGTTTGTCTGTCCATATAAAATCACATACATAGGCACCCAAGAAAAAATTGAAGAATTTTGTTGTCATCAGTTTCTGCTTTCACATCCAGAGAGAACTCAAGAATGCTTAAGATGTTTGTCCCACGTTTCCTATAAAAAAGGAGGTGGTTTTGTCCTCATTGCAGGGGGAGAAAAGGCAAAAAGTTACTCTTCAGGATAAACTATGTCAAAAGTTGTTGTTATGGAAAAAGGAAACTTTTTCCCAAAGCAACTGCTTTACTACCTTAACAGCAACAATATTTGTTAGCATTAGTTATAGCTGGTTTGCATCCTTACTTTTTCTTGCATTATCCCACATGCACAAGATACAAATGGAAAATTTTCATTAGAACTTAATTTCATATAGCTTAATGACACTTCTAGCCTGTTCTTTTGTATGTTTTATGTCCTTAGAATTAATAACTTTCACAGTTTAATGAGGTTTAATATTCCCTGTGCTTATTTCTGCAGGCACCCTAGACAAACATGTAGAGCTAGAGAAACTTGTGGCCAAGTTCCTTGGTGTGGAAGATGCTATGGTGTTTGGCATGGGTTTTGCAACTAACTCAATGAATATTCCAGCCCTTGTTGGGAAGGTGAGTATTTCCTTAAGGAACACACATAGAACAATCATTTATTAATTGTTTTAACAACTGTTACAGTATTCTGGGCACGCATTAAGTGGAAAGGCTTGATTGAGGAACAAAACTTGATATGAGGAACGCATGAGTCATAAGGCTGATGACCTTGTGACCTTACATAGGCTCCTTCATCATTTTTTTCTAGCTCTGGGTGTTGCTATCACACACACCTAACATCTCTTTAAGGATGAGTGATATGGTTGTTTACCTTTTCTTAACAAAGTTGCTTCTCCCTAAAAAGTAAGGAAATGTTTCATCCCATATCTCAGGCATTGTGGGATGCGGTATTTGGGCTACTTGCAGAGATATTGTCCAGCTGCCTGTGGTGAAAGATGATGATTAGGATATTTTTGACAACACTTTCAGAAAAGAGAAAGCACAGCGTTTAGCATTCCCGATGAACAGATCTCCAGCCAGCCCTGCAAAGAAAGCTGGCAGCAAATGCAAGTCTAAAGTTATGACCATATGACAAAAGTTGAGTTCTTATTTGGTGTTGAAGGGACTTCATCTCCAATTTGGGGTACCTAACACAAAAGCATGAAAATCCATCATCCTGTCAATCACAACTCCTGACATAACAAGCAGTTATACTGTGCTGTTAGCTGGGAAAGTGGGTAACTCCTCTTCAGTTCGTGCAAGTGTGAAACAGTATGGTGTGTCATGCACGAGTGAAACAGTATTTTCCTCTTGGTGGAGATGGAATGAACTCACTGTGTGATGTATGATCAAGATTTCTTCTGAAGCACCGGCCTAGAGGTGAAGTCACTTCTTCACTCACTATTGAAGATGAATCCAGCTTTTGCAAGAGATTTCTAAAATACATGTACACAAGGGTTGGGCAGGGAGAATTACTTCAGCTGCCCAGAACATGAACTTCAATCTGCAACGGTGCTGGAGAAGTTGCCCAGCAATTTCAAAGGGAACAGATACAGAGAATTAATAAAGGTAAATTTATGAAATTGCAGACATAACGTAACAGCATAAGATACTTGTCCCTTGCTTAGCTATAAAATAACTTTCCCTCATTTGGCTGGCCTCACGTGGAGACTCAGGCCTCTGTCAGAGGTGGGATATTTAGATATATTATATAGAATATTATTATTAACAATTTAGTATATATTAATATTATGTAGTGTTATAATGTATTATATATATTACAGATACTATGTAATTGCCCTATGTTGGGGAGATTTATTCCTAAATTTTCCTCTATAATTAAGCCTAGCAGCTACATTTTCTTGTCAAGATGCATATACTCTTACTGTTAGTTCTGCATACCAGTCTTCAGGCAGATTTGTGTGAGTATCTCTCAACCTAGGCATAATCTGTGTTTCCAAAATAAGTATTTACTTAATGGTGTATTGCCCTTTGGGTAATGAAGCCACAGCACAAGATGTGTAATAGAAAGCAGAGCTAAATTATGGTTCCAGCTTGAATTTCAACTGTGAATCCTGGCTCCTGTTAATATAATATACAAAGTTATTTCTCCTGCATTTCTATTTTAGTTTCTAAAAAGAAAATGAGTTTTCAACTGAGTTAATTAATTAAAAATATACTACAGGCGAACTGTATATGCATTTAACAGTGAAAGACTTTGCCTGGTGCCTAGACTCCACTCACATCTTAGTGGAAGTGGGATTTATGAGGCATAGATCTGTCCTGATCTCATTTCTGCAGCCCAAAGTGCTGATGTCAGTCCAGCCTCAGTGTTACTCCTCCTTACATTACTGTCATGCAGTCTTTATATATGGGGTGGTGACTGCATTTTCCTTGCAACACAAAATAGACTGTAGACAGGTGATAGAGGAAGCAACATGACTTGATTTCACTATAAAGCAGTCAATCTCTACTAGGGTTATTCACTACTTTCCAGTTACAGGAAATATTTGGCCCCTTTGCACCACCTGGGAATGCCTGAGAATCTGATCCCACAGTTTCTGCCTGCCTTTGCAGTGGGTCCTGGCACCTTCAGAAAAGTGGCAGAAAATCCAGTTCACGTTTAATACTTATAGCTTAATTGGTGCAATGCTGTATCATAGGCACACGTGTATGCTGACACACACATGCACACATGTCAACAGCCTCCCAATTCATGCAGATGCTTATTGTACTCCTTCTCCACAGGGCTGCCTCATTTTAAGTGATGAGTTGAACCACACTTCTCTCGTTCTTGGTGCAAGGCTTTCAGGTGCTACTATTAGAATCTTCAAGCATAATAGTGAGTATTGAAGTTGGAAATATTTAGAGACAGAGTTGTTCGCACCTCAAAGGCAAGAATGCTTCCTTTCAATGCTTGCTTTGCTGTCAGTTCCCAGATAATACCTTTGTCCAGGCAGAAGGACTAACTGTTCAATATTATGAGCGATTTCTGATGGGGAAAAATTAATGGTGTAATACTGTAATTGCTATTGTGCATGATTTGAGTCATCAGGTTGGACCTTAATTTCAAAATCCGGAGTCTTAATCTCATTGCTGTCTTTTTGACGTGCTGAATGACTGTGTGCTGTCATAAAGGTTTTCTTGTTACTATAGCCAAAATAGTACAAACATACTTGCAAAAACATACTCCATATTTCCTGCCTCTCTTTCTAGCAGGTTCAGTGCAACCAGAGTTACATTAATGTGGCATTACTTTGACACGGTTACCCTGAATTCCCAGGGGGCTATACCAAAGATGCAGATGGTTATATCAAGAACATCATCTCAAATATTCTTTGAAGTATAATTTTAGTATAGAAATCACACATTAACTTTGCAATCATAGAATTATCTTCTAAAACACTCATGCTTTTTAACTTTACTTAGTTAATGCTGCTGTGGTCACTGTCAGAGACATTGTGATTGCTTTGATGACAAGAGCTTGTTCTTTTCCTTTATTCCCCATTGCAATTCCCCTTTCCGTCCCCATTGCTGCCACCAGGCAGTGATTGCAACAGAGGCTAAGAAGCTAGAGAAGTGGTGAGGAATGAGAAAAGAGGTCTGATCACCTTTGTTAATAGCTAATATCATCCTTTCTCTTTATTAAGTGTTGTGTTCAGCCCTGAGGTGAGCAAAAATGTATTATGCATATGCTGTAAAAAGCCTAAGGATCTGTTGGAATGAAAAGCACACTATAATTATAATATAAGGTGTTGTTATAATTAATATCTATTCATAATTTGGGCAAGACGCAATTTCTGAAGATCATTCAAGAATTAAAGATCATCTGAACCCGAATGTTTTTACAGAAGTAATTATTCATAGATTAGCCTGTAGCATACCCCAACTTGGTTCACTTCCACCAATCTGGATATGCTAGGCATGGTTGCTGTACCAGTCTTTTCTCAACTCTTCCTTAGTTTGTTCAGTGCCTTATCCCATTCAAATGGGTTTGCATCACCTCTTGCAGGATGACCTTTCGCTACCCGAATCCAAATCTTCTCAGCCTCTCCACCCATCTATGCTGCGTGCAGCCCAGCTGGCTTGTGTCGCTTCCTACAACATTTTAAAGAACATTCCAGTTTGAGGAGTGTATTACTCTCAACTGCTAGGGAAGCAGTGAAGGTATCACTTTGAGCTGTCATTCTTGCTTTAAGGAATTTGGTCTCTAACCATCCCCCAATATTTCATTCCGTTCCTGAGAAGCTGATACCCAACCAGCCTCTGGTTGGTTACTTTGCGCTTGTGATAAATAAAAGCTGATGTTCTTTTGTGAATAATGTATGAACCCAAAAATAATAGTGACTTGTTCAAAAAGCACTAATCCAGCACTGGAAAATGTAGACAGTCCCTTTAAGGGTCTCAGCAAACATCAGTGGAAACCCATCCAGGTTGCTTTGGAAAAGCTCATTGTTTTCTAGGTTAGAGATCCGATTTGCCAAAGTCAGTCTCATATGCCATTTCTGAGACATCACTTTAACTTATTTTCAAAGTGAAACTGTGGAAACTTATGCAAATACTGTTTGGAATTTGAGTGTTAGCTTTTGTCATCACAATTTTGTAGGCCTTGAGTCCTAACCTAAGTTGCATTTAAAAGCACTTCATGTAAAGCAGCTTCACACCTTCATGGTCTCTCTCTCGGCCCACTGTGAGTCTCTCAGTATGTTAGTTCCATGGTTAGGAAGTTCTTTCTTTTGAATATTTCCTTAATCATACCCATGAGTTACACGTCACCAACAGCTTTTAAAATCACATGAGCAGAAATGTATGTATGTGCCTTTTGCTTTGGAGAAAACAGAATGTGTATTGGGGGAGGGTAGCAGTGGAAAGCGTAATCCAGCAGGACTGCCTTTGTAGGATGCACAGTTTCACCCAAAACGAAGTAGACAGCCTTGTTCTCTGTGGATCTGTCAGGGAGTAGTGTAATACAAGTCAGTACAGCAAATCAATTAAGGACACACATAACCAAAATTTCCAGCTTGTGTTGGGAGGGTTCTTTTCAGTTAGGCAGGTGCTGGTTTGTTTTGTTAGATCAGAGCTGTATTGCTTATGCTCCCATGTTATCCTTCTTGCTAATGTGTGGATATATAGCATATCTACAGGCATGCACACGCATGCCCAAATTGTCAGGGTATGTTAGTGCTGTCATTGTCATGCTTACGAACAGGGGAATTGCTGTATCGGCCCTGTGGATGAATAGAAAACTTTGCACCTTGAGTTACCATTTGAAGATTTTTAATACGCATGAATTTCAGCATCAGATAGTAATGTGTTTTGTCTTACTTTTTAAAATCCTCCTCTGTATTCTAGTAGGAAAAGGCAGTGCCCTCCACCTCTTCTTTCCAAGGACAGGGGATTGATGTGTGTCATTTCATACAAGGAAATCAATGACCCTTTAAAGAGCTTAGCCCTGGGCATCAACCGGAGGATGTTACTGTCTCAAAGGCTTGGCTAGGGCCCTTTGATGAGCAGTTGGAACAACTTTCCAGCAAGGTGCAGAAACAGAGAATAAATCTGAGTCCTATCCCAAAGACGATTAGGGCTTAACGTGCATTTCATTTTTACTTGTGTGTACGGAGCCACGTTGTGTGCTGGCATGAGCTGGCTGGCTCATCTCCTTTGGAGCTGTGCCAAGTTACACACACAGATACCATTTGACCCAGTATTGCCCTACATTAAAGACAATAAAAGAGATGCCAAGTGGTACCACCACTAGTGCCCGAGACATGCTTTCTGTGCAGGAGAATCAAAAATAAACTCAAATGAGGCAGCAGATTTTGAAGCTACCTTTTTGCTATTAGAATGCAGCTTGAGAAGCCGGCTTTTTTCCATGCTCCTTGTTGCTTACATCAGCCTCTTTTGAAATGCTGTGTAATACCCTTGATAAAACTGCCTAGAACATATTTACTTTGGCTCCGACTTCCTTGGTTGCACATGTGTAGAAGAGATATGTATAGAAGGGTGAGGTGTGAATGTTTGTTGCAGTTATTATAAATGGTTATCAAAACGAGGAGGAATAATTATGTAACAATTTAGTGAAGCAATAATATATTTTCTGAACCAACTACTTCCGGAATATTATACAAAGAACATGCACAGGTGTGTGCTAGTAACCTCCCTTTCTAACAAGCTTGGCATTGTAAATCTCTTTCCCCTCCCTTTTTTCTCCCTGTTACGGAAAAAATATTTTTTAAAGAAAAATTATAGGAAACTTTGTTCTGTGATAAAAATATTTCACAGACGAGAGTAAAACCTGCCATTTTGAACTTGCTACTGAAGCACATTATCTTTCAGAGGCTATCCAGTAGCTAATTCTGTAAAACTGTGTTATTTTATTTCAAAGCATATAATCTGTAATACTGGATCTATTCTTTTGTTATTACACAAAAGTAAATAATTATGCTTATTTCATTAGTAAGCCAAGAAGTAATCTCTACCTATTACCTTAATTGTGTATAACATAATTCTTATTCTTACAAAAGTTAATGAAATTCTATTTCAGTAAGTGGGTAGCTGTCCTAGGCATTACAGTTTTCACAAAAAAGTCTGAGTATTTTTTTCTAGAACAGATGAAATTGTTAGGCCTCTATGCTTCTCCTAAGTAAAACAAAAGGCATCTGGATGTTCCTCCTTTTTGACAAAAACATTGCACAGGTGTATGAGAATGTTTGCAAGCCTTAAGGTGAATAATAGAACAAAAATGTGCTGTGGACCTATAAGTCCATTTTTATTTGGACATAGGAATGTGCCCTGCATCCTGCCTGCCAGTGAACAATCCCTTCCTTGTAAACAGACAGGAATTTACAGGCCTGGGCTGAGAGAAATGCGCAGGCACACACCTACAGACCATCTATGTGAGAGAAATGGAGAGAATACTCCATTTCAGCCCTATAACTAAAAACTACTGAACAGGGCATTCCCTTCCTGTGGGCTCTCATTAGTACCATTGCTAGTCTTCACCCTGCCAAGGTCACACCGGTATGCCACAGGGTATTTGGCCTTTAAGGGACATTTTCTGTTCCAGGGACTTGTGAGTTTTTGTGGATGGTAGCAGCAAAGCTCAGCTCCCTGGAGCCCTTGCTCTGAGGAATGGGTGTAGGGGGATTTTTATTTTTTTTTTTTTTTTTTTATTTTAGGACGTGAGCAGTCCTAAATTTATGCAGTAGTGTTTTTAGCGGGCTAAAATCGTTCTGAGCTGCCCATAAAGCATCTGCCTTTTGTCTCCCCTGCTGTGGTCTGGGCACCATTCAAATTACCGTTTCCCAGACGGTGATTTGTTTAGGAAGCTAGCAAAGAGCTGCATTTCTACACTTGAAATGCAGCCAGCAGCACAGTCCAACAACTAGTATGCAGTGGGAAGGAGCTGGGAGGCTAAAACATCTCCCCGCCTCTGTGGCGGTAGTGGCCTGGCCTTGGTTAGTTTTGTGCCAGAAGGTGTCTGATGTTACCCTTACCAGGCCTGGGCTCCAAGGAGCCTCTCCCACCCTCCCCAAGTGACCTGCATGGGGGTACTTCAGCTATACGGGGGCTACGCTCTTGGATGGTTTTATTTCCTGGCTCAGGGAGAGACTGACTTATCGCTTGCTTTTTTTTATTTCTAAGACAATCTCTTATTAATATCATATATTTTAAAGCACTTTTTCAGAACCTCTGACCTTTATCGTAGTTAAATATAAGCCAAAATCCCTTGACCCTTCAAATAAAACTTGAAAAGCCAAACCAAATAGCTAACAATTAATCAGCTTGTGATTTTACCAAGGCTTTTCTGTCACAGCAATTCTGGGTCTTACATCGGTATCA